GTCTGTCATTAATAATATTGTGATGGATTGGCCGGTGGTGTCGGTGTTGGACACCGGCGCCAATCAAAGTGGTATTCGTGAAAAATCGTTCATAATTTTCATTACTATTACTATTCGTGCGAAACAACCGGTGTTTAAGTGCTGGACTCAACTCCCGTTTGCCGTTTAGTTTATGTCGGAAAGTATTGCTGCCGCCGGTGGTCAGGGGCCTGATGTCCGGGTTGTACTTATATAGTACTTCGTGGCTGTCATCGGATTCCCGTTTTTGTTTCGGCTGTTGTTTCGGCGCTTTCTTCACAAAATGGTAGCACTTCTTGCGCTTTGGGTTCAGCTTAGGTCCGGCGCCGACCAACGGTATCTGACCGACCAGTGGTTTACCTTTTTTATTAAACCCGATATACCAGTCCGGGTTGTAAAACGACTGGAACTTTATGTGCCTATTTTCGGCCACTTCTTTGAACAGACACTCGAGGTCTTCGCCGTCAAACTGTTGGATAACAAGAAAAAACATGTAGGTTTAATATTGGGAATTACAACCATGATGCTGGAGTTAATAATAGGTTTTAATGCTATTTTATGGCTTAATATTTAATGTGTTTAATATTTAACATAAGGAAACAAATGGTAGTTAATATACGAGTAATGATTTTTAAGTATAATTTTTATTACCCATTATTATTAGGTTTTCTTGCATTTGTTTTTTCCAATGTTTTGCGCAAATATTTTTAAAATGAAAATGAGTGGTTTTTACCACAATGTAAAACAAATGGTTAGGCAATAATGCATATAAATAACATTTGTATATAAACTAATACATAATGTATTCATAATTGTGGTGATTATATAACCCGTTATGTGAATGCTAATAAAACTTATAATCTTGCTCTCTCTCTCTCTCTCTCTCTCTCTCTCTCTCTCTCAGCTATTATATAAGTTATGTGAAATTTTATTGTTTTAAAATTACATCTTCAAAAATAAACTATGATTTCATGCGATTAACTAAATATAGACAACATTTTCACTTTCATCTAAACTTTTATATATAATTTACATTTTTATTTATATTATTATATATTATGTATATTATGTGCCAAATTCAACAACAATTGACATTCACTATGTGTTTAGCAAAACATCATATAATAAAAACATGAAAACTATTGCCGAATATTACATAAAAGTTATGAAAATGTTTTATTGTTAACAATATATATAAATATAATATAAACAACTATTTACTGACGACAACAAACAATCAGATAAATGTATAATAAAAATACAGTGAAATACACGATAATTATGTAATTCATGTAAACTATTATTGCCTGTATATTGTATAACAAGTGTTAGTCCACTATTAGCGATATGTTTTTGTATTATTATATTAAACAAAATTACCGATATGACTATTTAAATATATTACAGTACATGCATGTGTGTCTGATATGCATTATATTGTTATGCATCTTATTAAATATTCCTAGATGATAAAAAGTCATTACATTATATCTATTTATACCACAATCATAAAAATTGTCTAAAATTCCCACTAAATATGATTACATAGAGATAATGCAAATCAGTTGGCAATTATTTCCCATTAAAAATAGACAATAATTTAATATAACAATTTAAAATTGAGTAAAATAATCTTGATATTACTCAAACACTACTTAACGTAAACATAATAAAGTGTTGCATCGGTATGTTGTGATCATTAACCGGGGGTTTAGCACCGGGTAGGGTATGGTATGTCATATCGGGTTGAATACTGTATGTGTGCTCATACGGGGGTTCGGGTATTGCCTGTGTTTGTGTGGTAGCAATCAATCTAAACAATCTGTTTAGCAATAAAGCGTTTCTCTTGAGTTAAACGCTAATAATTTATAGCTTATAATGTTTTCAATACTCAATGACGAGGAGAGAGAGAGAGAGAGAGAAAGAAAGAGAGAGAGAGAGAGAGAGAGAGAGACGGTATAACTCTATCGGTGAGAGCGTCAGAAAGAGCGCAAAGAATTAGTTAAATACTCAAGAAATCAGAGAAAAAAAGTTAATCCCTTTTCTAATGTTTAAGGAATCAGCAAATGATTTATTAGACGCCAAACTCTATTTCAATTGCCGATAGTCTCTCTCTCTCTCTCTCTCTCTCTCTCTCTCTAACTTTGTGTTGTGTTGTTATCAATCGGTGGTGAACTACAAAAACCACAAAACTTTGGAAATATAATAATCGCACGAAAATTTTGCGGCAAATATAGTTTCTCAGAAAATACATAATAAAAGGCACACAAATTGTTGTCAAATAAAGTACAGTAAAGACCCGAAAATTCTTTAGATTTATATCTCACTCTCAAATGCATTCTTATCTATACCTATATATGAATACACTATTGGGAGGGAAATAGAAAACGTGGTAATATTATATGAAATGTATATACAGTAAAATATAATATCAGAGCTGAGGGCTGTCTATATGCCTGACAAACGCCAATATTATTTTAATAAAACGATTCTTGTATTTAAGTCTCGTATTCAATAAAATAACAATGAATTTGGTATAAATGTTATCATAATGTCTGGCAATGAGTGATATTAATAGGTTTTAATAAAATCTGTTATTTTAAGATTTAATATTTAATTAAAATTAAGTGTCATATTATAATATGTAAATCAAGATAAAAATAATATCGATGTAATGAAAAACCAATGTTTTTTTATCAGTAATTATAACTTCAAAAGAATAGTTAAAATAAGTTTTTATAATATTTAATATCCAATTCAACACAAAATAATTGCAAAACTATAAGCATTTTTATTAATTTAGTGGAAAACTACAAATATTGCAATTTTTCGCGTAAATAAGATATAAAATTATAAAAATTTTAATAAAAACATCATAATTACATACTATGAGCAAAATAAATAACACTTTTTGCCTGTTTTTCGCTATTAAACCAAATGAAAATATAAACTAAATTGATATCAAATGCAAATATGTATTAAAAGTTGATTTTTTCTGGACATTAATTGCATTGAAAATAAAACTACAGATAATTTTAACACTAAAAACAAATTCAATGAATTTTAAATGAAATAAATTATTTTATTAGTACTTAATGTTGAAAAGTAATTGAAACAAAAAATAAATAAACTTAATCATTAATTAATGCCAAAAAATAGGTCACAAACTGTGTTTAGACTCAAAACACTGATTATGGTCATAATAAACTATTTATTACCCCGATTACCATTATTATAATTATAATATTTAATATTAATAATAAAATATTATCCAAATCAAATTGAGTGAATGGGAAAACTAGCTACAAATTTAATGGTAAATTAATTTATGTAAAAACAATTGTCTATATGGTTGGGAAGAGTGTCTGCAAATAACTCATGGTATAAATATGATTATACCGTATATATAAATGCCTGTTATATACCAACAAAAAACATGTTTGCAATCCATTAATGAGATACTAATTTGAATACAATTCAAACAAAACAAGAAAATAGCGAAACATAAATAATTTGTGGCAAAAATAACATAACAAGTGTTGACCAAAAAAGGCAATACATATCAAAAGGCGATACGAAAAAAGCATAGGGTTTGAGAGATTGCGATGAAAATTAATGCATAAAATCGTTACAAAATAATAATAATAATAAAATAACATAACAAGTGTTGACCAAAAAAGGCAATACATATCAAAAGGCGATACGAAAAAAGCATAGGGTTTGAGAGATTGCGATGAAAATTAATGCATAAAATCGTTACAAAATAATAATAATAATAATAAAAACAAATTGAAAAACAATTTTTCTGAGACCTGGCGACGGGTTTTTCGCCGAAACAACCATAAAGTGTTTGGAAAATTACAAAATAAATTTAATAAAGCATAAAATATTAATACCCGGAATATACTGTATATATCATATCTAGCGTACCGGTGCTGTGTGTTGTGTGGGTGCACACACATAATATACCATAATGTTATTTCATTAAAATACACTAAAACCATGAAATTCCGGACATTAATATCGCATAAATATCTAATCAAATGCTAAATAATTCCGGACTTTTTCCAAAGCATAAATATATTTGTTTGTAAATTAATGACACGTTAAAGGATCATAAAATTTATGCGACAATAAAAATATTCATATCTAATTAAATATAATTAAAAATACAAATGATCAAGTTCACGTGTTTGAGTGATATCATAGCTAAACAATGCCAATTGTGATCCTGTTTTCCAACCCATCACTCAATTCCCAATACTATAACATAAGTTATATCATAAGAATTCACTTCAAAAATGAAAAATTGTTGTAAATAAATATTTTAAGTATTTAAACATCAATTAAAAGTAAAGTGTTTTTGTTTTCTAGTACTGTATTCAACAAACACTTAATTACGATATTAAGCTAATAAATTGAACATGTTGATGTGTATTGTGCAGTAGTTGTTGAGGTAGGGTTATTCATTATAATAGTTTTATTATGATGACATTGTTTAGTGTAATACATAGTAATTAGGGTACATAGAAGTCTAGGCATTAGAAAAGTCATAATTGCTAATGAAAATGACAAATAAAAATGATTTTATCGCTGGTAAACATCCATCATAAGGGGCTGAACCCCTTTCCACACAACAGCACAGGTATATAATTGATAATAAAAACATTTGCATACTATTGGTATAGTAAATGGTGATGAGTGAGTGAACAGGACATCGGGACAGGTATGTTAGTTGTCATACGAGCACTCAATTATCGATAGTAATCATAAAATATGTGCTCAAAAACGACATAATTATTCCCCAGACATCGATACGATGTGCGGGTATTGTGTGTCTGTTTGTGGGGTCCACTCAATACACTGCCATAATTTGATTAGTGACTACCGTTTATAGACTTATTTTCGGGAAAAATATTTAGATTGAAATAATGAAAAATATTTTTAGAGAATTTCAGTGCAAATGTCTGGGAATATTGAGAGGGGGAGAGAGACTTTGAGAGATGACCAAGATCGGTTTGTATATCAATTCTTGCGTGACTGACAGACATTTGTGTCAATAATTGACGGATAGGGAGTGAAAGAGACGAGAGAGAGAGAGAGAGAGAGAGAGAGAGAGAGAGTCGTCTAAATTATACCTATGAAATAGCTCTCTGTCTCTTGAAATGCCTTTAAAACAGTGAAACTCTTATAATTTTGAGTGCTCGTATGACAACTAACATACCTGTCCCGATGTCCTGTTCACTCACTCATCACCATTTACTATACCAATAGTATGCAAATGTTTTTATTATCAATTATATACCTGTGCTGTTGTGTGGAAAACCAGTTAAACACTAATATCAATAATTTGGCCCAAATTTACCAAAACTAAAGACACACAAGAATTACATATGAATTGTATTGTGTTTTGTATTGTGAATGAAATTTGCGTTTTTTCCGCTCCTCTTTTTGTGTTCAAAAATACTATTATTTAAATAAAAGTTACAAAAA